TGTGGCCCCCCTGTGTGGCATGCTGTGCCTCCCTGTGCAGCATGATATGCTGTGCCTCTAGCTTCTAGAGGACTGTGAGAAGAATAAATTTCTTCCTTCATGACAGTCATTTCTACATCTGCATGTCCTACCATACCTGATTAAAACAAATCCTGGGTATCATTAAAACATCCCACATAATTATAGAGTTGGCAGCTCATATTATTTTGTCTTTCTTTCATCCCATCCTCTGTATTCAGTAAACAAATTTAATTTTTTTTTTGTCATTTACATTACCTTGTTTGGCTCATGTTAACAACACTTAATAAAAACACTTATATGTACGTTCCTTCGGTATATAACAAAAACATTAATTAATAATTATTTTCTACTATATGAAAGAACCAACTCTGGGCTCTTTCCACCATACCCACCACCATACAACATTATTTGACCTGTACATGGGAACAGGCAGTAATGACGCTCTGCCCACATCATTTCTCCTGTCCTGAGCTAGCAGACTGAAATCCACTCATGACCTCAGTGGGTTAGATATGTGTACATGGGTTCCACATTGACAGGAAGCTGGGTGTGTCTTTGCAGGTCTGGCTGCTGCAGTCAGAGTATGGGGTTATCTGAGTAATGCTAATTCACTACAGATCCTCGGGAATGCTAAGTTAGTTACCTTGCCATTCTTTCCATTGGCTTCTTTGCTTAGCTTCCTGTCCTGGGTCTAGAAGTGCACTCTAGCAGGCAGCAGTGAGGAAGCAGTGCACTTGAGCAGGCAGCAGTGAGGAAGCAGAGGCACTGACAGATGGAGATCTGTATTGCCTAGCAAGATTTCTTTCTTTCTTTTTTTTATTATTTTTTGTCTTTTTAAAAAAATAGCATGTCCAAATGTAAAGATGGCCCTTTCTGAGGTTGAAAAATAGCAGACTATAAGGTAAGGTACTTAAGTAGATATATATCTTCTTGGAGAGGTACCTCCAGGCAAGGTCACCAGCACTGAATTTATTTCAGAGGGGCCTACTGAAGGAAAAAACAGTTCCCTGTTAATTCTGGTATGTGTTAAATGTACAGTAGGACAAGTATGTAAAATTGGAAGAGTTCAAGTAATTAATGATTTTGGGTCATACAGTGGGACCAAGATGTAAGTTGTTACATGTTCGTTCCCTCAGTGGCCAAAGATCAATAAAAGCTGCAGTGGAATTTCTTCCATCCTGAACTAGTTTTATAATGGCATCAAATATTTTCAATAGGACTCTGTAAACCTAGTCGAGGATTTAGTGCTGGCCTGTTCCCCTTTTCTTTGTTTGGTATTCCTGTCAATGTCATAATTTTAAGAATATGTGTTCTAACCAGCAGGAGGGTAGTGAGCTACTAGATGTGTCTTTATGTCTTCCATGGGAGTATATTCATTCACTCCTTCTACAGATACATATTGAAAAATTACTATGTGTCACAAACTGTCCTAAGTAGTTGGCATATGGTAGAGAACAAGCCAGAAAAAGTCCTTGCCCTCCTAGAGCTTGAAGTTCAACAAAATAAATGATTGTATGAATGAATGGGTGGATAGATGTATAAAGAAGGTAGGCAGCTTAAGGTTCATGAGACTAAGTGAGCACAGATTAGCACATTTTGTTGACAAGGTTATTTTTTCCACATTTTAATATCCCTGACTGACATAGGATATATCTTAACATTTATATATTAAAATTGCTGATAACTTGGCAGTATTCATGGCACAACTGTCATGTTCTTGTACACGCACAAACTTGGTCACAGCTATTCATTTTGTTTTCACTTCTACTGAGTTATAGGCATTGTTTGCACTGTGAGTATTCTGTTTAATTGCCATTTAAATGGTTTTCAAAAAGATTACACTATGATTTGGCACTGCAAGGATATGTTACTATGTATGCATGAAGACAGTGAAACAGAGCAGTGAGGCATAAATGTTATATTACTAAAGGAAACATTTGTCTTTGTTTGGCATTTCCATATTACTTTGCAAAGCAAAATCCAAATGCTTTACCAGATTGAAGATAGAAAGACACAAGCTAATGAAGCTATGTTATAGTTTGTTACTGAGATTCAGGCAAACGGGTCATCTCAAACAATGCCACCGAAAGTATCGGCAGGAAAAAGTACCAAAACGCATGGAAGAGATAAAGGAAACTTGAAAGCAACAGGAGACTAGTGTGACCTGCAATGGGAGACTAGTGTGACCTATTCATGCACTGCCATGAAAGACTGTCATTAAAGTGGTATGTCACAACAAAATTGGCAATATTTTCTCTTTCTTCTTATATAGCATAAAAATAATGCTATGCCTTATAACTGATGGTATTTTAGATTTGATGAAATATAGAAATAAAGATGGATTGCTAGTAAGTGAGAATTTTTGGAAGTAGAACAGAATGTAGGGAAGTTTGTTGATTCTGGATGGTTTTGAGTTATGAGGTACTTGTACATGAACAACTTTAGACAAACTATATGATTTCAATGATTTGGTATAGTTTTGCAGATCACTAGTCATTTAAAGATGTCTATTGACTCATTTCCTACAATGTTGGCACATCTTCCATTCTAATATAAGAGTGTGACAATGAGCAAACCTTATATTCTACTTTCCCAACTTTAACTGGTACTATTTCAGTTTCTGGCAGTTTAGAGATACTAGAGTGGAGATGCTAAGGGTATATTCTAAACTCAGACCTTAACACTGCTATGCAGGATGGAGTGAAATAATTAGAAAGGAGAGTCCATCCGAAATCCCAAAGCATGCATACAGGATTTTGAGATTTTTAGTACTAGAGTAACATGTGCAAAATGCCAATGATAAGGATATGTTTCCAGGCAGCATATGGTCACAGAGCAAAAATGCATTTATTTCTTTTTAAGCTTAGTACTAAAAATCACTTTGGAACCAGAGAGAGTTGAAAACCATACCACTGAAGAGAACACACACACACACACACACACACACCTCTAGGGAAGAGAAATTATAAAGCAATGGCTGTAGATTATAATAGACAAATTTTTTAAGGCACAGCTTCAAAATTTACTGTGTCACAACTGTGACATCAGTTTTTTATACCTGTCAGCCAAGCAACAACTGCCTTAATATAAAGTGAGGAACAAATCAGGAATAGGTGTGTGGCCACATCTATCACCAAGACAACATGTAAAAGGGTTTCTATATGGTGAACACATATTTTAATAGTGTTGACAATATGCTATACCATATATGCGGCATTTCTCACTATGAGGAAGGCCTGCTTCCTGTTCCTAGGGTCGCACACTAATTTCCTTTCTGGTCAGCAGTGAAGAACTCAGGGATTCCCTGGACTAATCCCACTTTCCCCAGAGACTTCATTTCAGTCATTCTTTTCAGGGAGGCTAGCCTGTGTCAGAAATTCTCTGACAGTTGGTACAGGAGGATGAGCGTACCAGTGTGAACACTGCAGGAGATGTGTTTCCGCCAACCAGTAGGGTATACTTCCATGTGCAGAGCTAAAATAGACTTGGAAGACTGAGAGGGTAGAGACTGCTCCTTAAGTGCCAGTGAGAGAAACACTTGTTTACCTGTCTTCTGGGGCCAACTCTTCTGAAAGGGTGAGGGAAGTTTACATGTTTGGAGATGTTTTGTGTCAGTAAAAATATATGTAAGACACCTAGTATGTGTTTACCACATAGAATGTGTTCAATATATGGACACTATTGTGTCACCACTAAGGAAATTTCATTAGATATAAGTGCTTTTACAGATATGATGTTTTTTGGCTTGGGGGTAAATCATATGGACTAGAACAATATGTCCGTGGCTAATGTGTTTTGAGGGTATGACGAATTTATCTTATGGTGTGAATGTATCTGGATAAGAAGAGAAAAAAGTAAATGTGAGAATCCACATGTGTGATCAGAAAGGAAACCGATAGATGAGAATTACATAGAACTTAACATATATTTGTTGAGATCTGCTAATTGCAAGACTATTAGATATCTACATGTTCCTACCTCTACCCTGAGCCACTTTACAATAGATGTATTCCTACAATCTAGTAAAAAACTCAACTTAATCTCTAATCATCATTTCTCTGCATTAGAGGACATTTTATAAAGCAAATAATTCCCACCTAATTCATTAGGATTTGAAGGTTGAAACTTTCTCCTATCTTCAAGTGGATAAAGTGTTCTGTATTCTTTGTTCCCACCTCTCACCCTAAGAGGTGGGCCATGACTTCTACCCACTTTAGTGTGCTCCACACACTCTTCCCAACACTTAGGGAAAGCCAAACGAAAGCATGTGGCAATAAGAAAATAGTAAAATACTGACAGAATCAATCATCGGCACTTTGGACACATTGGTGTTCTGGGATCTTTAATTAAAAGGTAAGGTAGATCTAAATTTCTGAAGCTTTTACTGCATAAGGTATCGGTAGAGCCCATTCTACAGGGCGAGGATACCGGGTCACTGACTACCTGCTGCGCTACTTTCAAGCAAAAGCCATAACGTGAGGGCTCTGGATGCTGCCCCCAGAAAGCCCCTTCCCCAAGGAGGATTCCCACACAGGGATTTTCTGGAGCAAGGTCCTGTGTCAGAACTGCTGCTCGGGTCAGAAAGAGGTCTGAGTTCCCACGTGCCCACATTCGAGCCACGGGCATACACGGCGAGAGGCTGCCTCTCCGTAAAGGCGCGAGCCTGAGGGACCACGGACTCTTCCAGTCTGGGCATCAAACTTTCTCCTGGAACAAAACCTCTTTCAAACCACATGGAGGCAGGAGGAGGATGGAGCCCGGGGATGCCGTCAGCTGCTGCCCGGCGACAGCCCTCCTCCCCCCACCCCGCCTCCCTCAGCCCCCACCCTCTTCCTCAGAGGGAAGGCAGCCCAGACCGCGCAGCCCGCCCCACCCACTCGCTCGCCGGCCCCCCACCCGGTCCCCGGAGCAACCGCTTCACAGAGCCACTTCCCCGGCGCTGCGAGTCCCCAGGGCGCGGGGGCGAGCGGGGCTGGTACCTTAGAAAGAAGCCAGGACACCGGCGCCCGACGAGACCCGCAGCATCGCCCGCACGCCGCCGCTGTCGTCGCCACCGCGGGAGGCTACTTCTCTGCGCCAAGCTTCGGAGCCGCGGGGACCCGGCGCCACAGCCGCCTGCGCCTCTCGCGCTCCCTGCGCTGCGCTCGCTGAGTCGCTGAGCCCGGGCTCGGCTGCCCGGCGACCGCCACTGTCAAGCGGAGCCCCGCCCCCTGCGCGCCCGGCGAGCCGCGGACTCCCGGGACGCGCCGCCGCCGCCATTGGCCGCGGGAGTCGCTGGCCCCGCCCCTGCTCGCCGCGCCCCGCCCACGCCGGGGGCGCGCTGCCTGGCGCCCTCTCCAGGGGCGCCGCGGGAGGGTGGGGTCCCCGGCTGGGCGCGGCTTCCTGCAGGCACCGTGCGCCGGGCCTCTCCTCATGAGCTCTGCAGCTTCTGTCTCTTCTGCCATCCCAGAGATGAACAGACGGCCAAAAAGAAAAGGAAAAGAGAAAACATCTCTAGGGCCCTGCGCGGAGAGGGCAGTGGCCTCGCCAGCCAGCTCTGGTGTGAAATCTTATTTATGTGGAGACATTTATTACGGAAGCCCAGGAAAGGCTGGCTAGGGTGGAGTGTTGGAATTATAGGCAAAGGTGGTTTGTTTGTTTGTTTTTGTATTTACTTTTTTGTTTTTTAACCTGAAGGTGCCGTTACACACCTTTTTGACTTCACCTCATGAAGAAACTAAATCCAGTGAAACAACTTGTCCAAGGTCATGGAGCTACTTGGACGTTGATTCCATAGTTCTATGTTAACTCAAAGCTGCCTCAGATTTTATTTCTTTTCAGTCATGCAAAAAGATACATTCTAATGTGAAGTGCTATGGATACTGTATAGCAAGCAATTAATTTTAAAAATCCATAGAGATGGAAAGTTGATTGATGGTTGCTGGGGGAGGAGAAACTAGGGAGTGATTGCTAATGGGCAGGGCTTTCTTTTTGGGGTGATGAGAGTGTTCGGCGATTTGATAGAGGTGAGAGATACACAACTGAACATTCCCCAAACCACTAAATTGTACATTTTAAATGGGTGAATTCTATGGTATGTGAATAATATCTCAATGAAACTGTTAAAAATGCATTGAGAGTGGTAGTGCTGTGGAGAAATGCACATAAGCATATGCCACAATTCTATGTTTGTAGGTGGAAATATGATTTATATGCTGGCACCCACCCATTCAGCAAATCATGTCCAACTTTACCAAGTTACTCTGACGTGGGTGCAAAGATTGATAATGCATGATCTGTCTACAAGGAGCTTCCAGTCTGTTGAAGGACCAGTTTATAATATAGTAAGGTAAGTGTTACTCTACGGAGATAAGCAAAGTGCCACATTTAGGGTATTAAGACGGAGCAAAGGACCTTGGCACAATAGTGGAGGGGTTGGAGTATATGCAGTGTCTTAGCAGTGCCTCTGGTAGCTGAGTCTGGGAGGTGTGACAGGAAGTGAAGGTGCACAGTTACAGTGCAAAGTAGAACTGTGAACTAGAGCTCAGTTCAAGAGGGAAAGACTAATTAGGAAGTAAGTTTTGTATTCCTTCTGGGTCTTTCCTATTCCTGATGTAGTGTATGATTTTGGCAAATGGTCTTAATTTAAACCCATTTCATCATCCTGTAAAGGGAATAATAGTAATGCCAACTGACCTTTGTTTCTACCTTTTTAGTATACAAACAACTGTTGTGTATTCTCTCCTTTGAAGCTCAGAGAGGTGAGGGGAATGAGTTCGAGGCTTTATGGCTTCTAAGTGATGGAGCTGGGATAAAACTCCATCTTCTGACTATGAACCCCTTATTCTCAACATTGTCAGACTTTCAAGTTTTGAAGCTTCCTTATAAGTGTAGAGAGCTCTTGAGCTATAAAAACTCTTTCATTTTTACTCTTGGAGTCTACCTACTTTTTGATTGGGAAGTAGAAATGTTATAGGCCCTAGGAAAAAACTTAGCTATGACCTTAGATCCTCAATTGAGCCTGTGTAGCAAAATCCTGGATTCCAGCCTTTATAAAAATGACTCTGCAATTTAAAAACTGGAGTCTGCCTATTTTTATTGTCAGTATACAATTGTCAGCATAGTGACCACACTTCCCTTTTCCTCCATTTATCCTTCCATCCCTCATGGGATTATAAACACCTTTTGAAAGCAGGCACAGGTTGAGCATCCCTAATCCAAAATTCAAAAATCTGAAAAACTCCAAAATTTGAAAAGCTCCAAAATTTGAAACCTTTTGAGCACCGATATGATGTCACAAGTGGAAAGTTCCACTCCTGACCTTATGTGTAGTCAAAACACAGGTGCACAACACACAGTTTATTCAGTGTCCCCAAGAGAAGAAAGAATCTGCAAGCTTTTTTCAGCTGTGATATATATTTTTTTCATGCACACCTAGATTCTCCCAGAGAAACATGCGCACAAAGGGAAATAAAATGCATGTGTGCAGGCTGGGTGCCCCACATGGGGCCAAAACCTATATGCATTAATCACTGTGTTTATTTGATTATTCTCTGCTCTATGGTGTAGATATTGTTAACAATGTCAACAAGGCCTGCAGATACCCCTCTTGGTAACAGTGATAAGAAAGAGAGAAAGCATTTATGTTTACCTGTAGTACAGGAAGTCAGGCTGTTAGAGAAACTGGATAGCGTTATAAGTGTGGAACGTCTTACAGAAGAGTGTGATGTTGGCATGATTACCATATATGACCTGAAGAAACAAAGGATACACTGTGGAAGCTCTATGCTGAAAGTGATGAACAAAAGTTAATGAAAAGTAGAAAAACACAGCATAAATCTAAAAATTAAGATCTTGATCATGTCTTGAAAGAGTAGATCTGTCAGTGCCACAAAGAACATGGGGCACTGATGGCATGCTGATCCTGAGATGAGCAAAGATCTATTGTGATGAACTGAAAAGTGAAGGAAATTGTAAATATTCAATGGTCTGGTTGGTTTCAGAAATTTAAGAAAAGATACAGCATTAAATTTTTAAAGATTTGTAGTGACATAGCACCTGCTGATCATGAAGCAGCAGAGAAATTCATTGATGAGTTTGCTAAGGTCATCACTGATGAATATCTGATACCAGAACAAGTCTGCAATGAGAATGAAACATCACTTTTTTGGTGTTATTACCAAAGAAAGACACTGGCTATGGCTGATGAGATAGCTCTTATGGGAATTAAGGATGCCAAGGACAGAATAACTGGGCTGGGATGTACTGATGCAGCAGGCACCTGTAAGTATAAGCTTGCTGTGATAGGCAGCAGCTTGCATCCTTGCTGTTTTCAAGGAGTGAATTTCTTACTGATCCATTATTGTCCTTACAAAAAGGCAGGGATCACCAGGGACATATTTTCTCTTTGGTCTCACAAACATTTTGTACCAGTAGCTCGTGCTTACTCTAGGGAAGTTAAACTGGTTGATGGCTGCAAGATTTTGTTATTCCTTAAAAACTGCTCTGCTGATTCTAAATTCTCACCAAAAATAATGTTTATGCCATGTACTTTCCCCAAAATATAACTTTGTTAATTCATTCATGTGACCAGGGTATCCTTAGATCCATGAAGAGTAAATATAAAACACTGTCTTGACCAGCATCCTAGCAGCAGTGAACAGAGGTATGGGTATGGGTTTTCTTTTTTTTTTTTTTTTTTTTGAGACAGAGTCTCACTTTGTTGCCCAGGCTAGAGTGAGTGCCGTGGCGTCAGCCTCGCTCACAGCAACCTCAAACTCCTGGGCTCAAGCGATCCTCCTGCCTCAGCCTCCCGAGTAGCTGGGACTACAGGCATGTGCCACCATGCCCGGCTAATTTTTTCTATATATATTAGTTGGCCAATTAATTTCTTTCTATTTAAAGTAGAGACGGGGTCTCGCTCTTGCTCAGGCTGGTTTTGAACTCCTGACCTCGAGCGATCCACACGCCTCGGCCTCCCAGAGTGCTAGGATTACAGGCGTGAGCCACCGCGCCCGGCCTGGGTATGGGTTTTCAAAAGGAGTTTAGCATGAAAGATGCCATATCCTGTTGACATTGCTAGGAACACAGTGACTAAAGAAACAGCTGTGCATGCCTGGTGCAACCCCTGGCCTGCCACTGTGTTCAGTGATGATGATGAACAAGGTGGTGACTTTGAAGGATTTCAGATGTTAAATGTGAAAAAACAAATAATGTCTGACCTCCTTACATACTCAACAAATACACCTTTGAATCCCTCAGTAAGCTGAAAGAAGTGGATATGGAAGAAGTTTTTTTTAACATATCTTATGAGGCTCTGGTTGTTCATTCATTGACCACTGGTGAAATAGCTGAAACAGTTCTGAATCGAGGCAATTGTGGTAACAGTGATGACAAAGAGGATGGTGTTAACTCTGCAGAAAAGGTGCCTAGAGACAACATGGTGAAAATATGTAATGGGCTTATTTATTGAAGGAGAGCAGGGTACATTCATAACAAGGAAACAAATCATGTCAGTTGTAAAATCAAAGAAAAACTTCTGAGTCAAAAACCATTGTTAATGAGGCAGATGACTCCGGAGGAAACATTTTTAAAAGCCATCCAGCAGAATGCCTCCTCATCCCTGGTGGACCCACTTCCTAGTCCCTCAACTGCTCTGATGTTTCTTCTCACCTAGAAAAATAAAATGCAGTGTTCAGTAACCTTTTAAACAAATAACAGCAATGTAGGTGGAGACTGAAAGCCTGGCGTTGTCTGTTGTTGCTGCTGTGTAACAGCTGGTACAGGTATTCTGGTGATGCTGCTATGCTGTTCATTACCCTGAACACATTATTTTTTCACAGTGTTAATGGTATGTCATATATTTTTTTTTACTGTTAAGTACTTATGTGTGGGTAAGTGTAAGAAAATGATTACTTATCAGTGGTGTATAAATTCAGGGTCTGGAGTGATGGAGATGCCACACAACCACAGATTATCCACTTGGGTGGCCGAGATAGTGACACCTTTGCTTTCTGATGGTTCAACGTACACAACTTTGTTTCGTGCACAGGATTATTTAAAAATATTGTATAAAATTACCTTGAGGCTATGTGCATAAGGTATATATGAAACATAAATGAATTTTATATTTAGATGTGGGTCCCATCCCCAAAATAATATATATATATATATATATATATGCAAATATCCCCAAATGCGAAAAAATCCAAAATCCCAAACATTTCTGGTCC